AAATAATTGGTAAAAATAAATTTGTAATTATACCAATTTTGTGACTATAAAGGAGGTGACTATAGAGGGGTTTGACTATATAACATTACATAATTTTGTGTAATATTAACAATTTCAACAACTATTGTATAGAATTTTATGAATTTTTTTTTATTTAAAAACCTTAGATTTAAGCAATGTTTTATATAATTTTGGACTTAATATCTTGCTTATTTAGTTTAATATAAATTTTTTAAAAGTGTTCACAATAATATACTACCCCCTGTATATGGTGTTTCCTAGGCTTTGCACCCCTGCATTATAGTTATGTATCGCCTGACCAATTAAATTTGAAGATCATGTGTGATGTACAAATTAATTTCGTGTAACAAAAATAAAATTTTGTCTATGAAACCACCTTTCGTGTTCTAACAAAAAAATTTTTCACAAAATTTTGGTATATACTAACTCTACCCTAACCCAAACCTTAGTCCTAACCCTAATCCTAATCTCAATCTAATTGATTTTTTTACAAAATTGTTTTGACACGGATTTACAATTATAATTTATATGCATGTGATGAATTAGCACATCGCAGGGTGCGATATATACATGTATTCATACTTTAATATCTATAAAATGTTAAAAAATATTAAATTATATAGTTTTTTTAAAAAAAATTACTGAATAAATAGCTTTAAGATGTACTAAATTAAATACATTGTTAGTGCTCCGCACAATCAAATCGAATTTTGAATTTGAATCAAATATTTGAAATTATTTGACCAAATTAATTAAAATTTGAACAAATAATTTCAAATATTTTGTTCAAATTCAAAATTTGATTTGATTTTGCGGAGTACTATACATTGTACTAGTTTAGTGCATATAAATCTAAACGATTAAAAATTTACTTATTTGGCTGCTGCACCAACGTTATTTTAGATTTACGGTTTCAGAGATTCTTTATTATTTAAACAATAAAATATCCTGACACTAATTTTAAATACTACGTAGATACTCTGCTTTTATCTAATATGGTATTGTCTTTTTTCAATTTATATTTTTTACTTTGCCTTATATATAGTCTAAATTACAGTGCCTCTTATTATTCCTTCTACCATCAACATGCGCGTTCGGTACTCTTCTACGTGTTTCCAACTTTTTATTTACATTAAGAAGGAAACCATCGATTTTTCCAAAATCAGTAAAGATCTTGATCTGATCACAGTTAACTATTAAATACAGTATCAGGTATGTCAATGCGATTTTGAGATTTTTGATTTTTGTACGTACGTACGTACATACGTGCATGTGTACGGGAGAACATCTCATTACATACTAAAGGTGTGGTTATATTTTTTTTTTAAACTTATAATTTGGCACAGTAAATTTCATTGTTTTCTTAAAAAGTGCATCTTACATTCTTGCGATTTGACGATCTTAATCTGGACCTGAAAAAGATGGTTAAATTTTAAGAATTTCAAATTCGTACATATCAATATATCTATTAATAATATATATACGACATTTCTAATGGTTTACGTAATTACAGACCTGATTTATTATGTGATAATTATTCTGCGATCCTTTTAAATAATGGAAAGCAAATGCTGGGTAGTGATTTTTCTAGACTATAATCCAAATATTCATATAAATAGTTGGGTCAGTTAATAAAACATGTGGCATTTAGTTTAAATTTCGGTTGAATGATTACGTAGTATGTCGAAATTTATAGATTTTATGGATATCCCTAACACATTTATTTTTATGGTCAAGAATTTTATACAAAGAAAAAAATGTTTGGCATAATATATTCGTCTTGTGTACATTTCTTTGACAAAAACAGTATAATTAATTACATAATATTTTCCAATAACAATAACGATATGTAAGAATTTTTTACAAGAATTGAATATTCCCAAGCAGCCAAAAGTACATATACATATGAAACAAACATAATCATATGCCATCACTGGTAAGACAAGAATTGATCATAACGCAATTAGGCGAACCAACTTGAATCGCCCTCCATATTTTCGTTTCTCATTGTCCAAACAATTGTGTGACCAAGGCTCATCAGATAACAATGCCACAATAGCCCTAGAAGAAAGCTGTTAATTAATTTATAATCATTATTTACTCTTTAGGAAATTTACGACGAAAAATTGTCTGTTTTAGACTTTGTATTTTGATACTCCATGTATTTATCCTATTTAACATTTTTAGATTGGTTAATGATTTTCTGCTACTCTCTTAGAAAGTTGTAGCGAATGTAATTTTGTGTTGTTTTATTTTTTTCGACCAATCTTTAAATGTTTTAATTATATAGTTTTATATAGTGATACTACTTCACTAGAAGGAACATGCCAAAACCTACTTCTTCTTCTATAAAGTCAAATTCCTTTACGCCTCCACGGCGAAGACAAAGCGCCAAAAAGCAGTCGTCTCTGGATTCCCCGACACACGGTAACCAGTGAGCCGGAGTGTTTAAACATCCATGGTCGATTGGCTTTATAAAACTGTTGCTCAAGTTTTTAGTATTCCACCTCTTACTTTGTAGACTCCGCCAGTATTGCAACTAGTTCATGTCGTTACGATAGCTCGCTTGGTCTTCTCACCAAGAAATTTGTTAATCTCTTAAAAGAAGCAAAAGATGGTGATTTAGACTTAAACACTGCCGCCGTCTCATTGCAAGTGCAAAAGCGTAGGATATACGATATTACCAATGTATTAGAAGGAATCGGATTAATCGAAAAAAATTCGAAAAATCATGTTCGTTGGAAGTGAGTATTGCTAATTTGTGTTCTAAGAATTTTTACTTTTTTTTTGTTTTACGTAATTAATTTGCTTAATGTTTATAATTGCACGTCTATGTTTGTAGAGGTGTACAGCAGCTGCCATTGGCTTCTTCTTTATGCCAGGATTATAAACAAAAGATAAAGGAACTCCAAGCTGCCAATGCTACCCTTGAATCTGAGAAATTAGAACTTGAAAGAGCTGATCAGGATGTGGATATCAGTATAAGAAATATATATGAATCTGAAGGAAGTGCAAGGTTTGAATCGATACTTATTTTGGTCTTATTAATGTGTCGCTAAAAAGTATATCCCTTACTTTGTTTGGTCCTATAAAGTCTCGCATTTGTACATCAATCAGAAATCGAAAAAAATATTAATCTTTTTCACCAAGATATCTTGATTGCAATAAAGTCTCTCTCAGGAACACCGTTGCAGGTCCTTGAGGCGGTTGAGGTAATGTTAAGATCATGGGGAGTTTTCTGGATTCATTAAAAAATCATCGTTATATCATATATATATATGGTTTGTTTTTTTCGATAGAATGAACAATCAGGCCAGCCTCTCTACCAGATTCAAATACATGATCCAAATCTTCAACAAGTTCATATTTTCCAACTCTCAGACGGTAATCCAGGACATAATTTGACTATAACAGATGACCATTCCACACGTGCATTTACTCAACAAAGCCAGCCTTTGAATATTAGAAATGGTGATCCTCTCCATCCTAATGTAGCCCTTCCTCCTCCGTTTTCTCATATGTCTTTAATACCAACCCCTACTGATGAGGATTATGACATGCTTGATGATAGTATGGATTACCACTTATATTATCAACGGCAACAGCAGATTCAACATCCAAATCATCGTCACTTTAATCACCAACATCATCTGTCACATAACCGTGATAGCGATGATTTTGAACCACTTGACCCATCATCTGATTATATTTTTGGTACGTTCAGGCATGACGGTCGCGAAGGATTAGATGTATTCGAAAGAAACTCAAATCAAAGGATGAGGGAAGGTGGTCATCATCGTCCACAATAAAACTTTAGTTTAGAAAATATAATGTCTTTTTTGATAAAACTAATTCTTAGTTAATATACAAAAAAAAAAAGTATATAGACTAATGTAACTCGTGAACATAGATTTGTCAAAGAAATTGGCTCTGACATTCTTGCCATAAAATCAAATTAACAAAATTTCAAATTTTCTGTAGTGTTTGTAGTATTAAAGAACAATTACGTGTGCACGAACACGCTTTTGTAGAGATTTGAAAGCAAACTTTTCTTTTTGTTTTCATTGTGAATTTTCAATATTTGAAGATATGGGGGTGCCAGTAGAAACCAAACAATTTGTTTCTAAATAAATTTTTTTAAACTTTGAACTAAAATATCTCAACATCTATTAAACAAAAACTTGATAATTTTTTTTAATTTTAATTCTATATAGTTATAGAATTAAAATAAAATTTTTTATCAAGTTTAGTTTAATAGTTGTTGTGATATTTTAATTTAAAATTTTAAAAAAACACTAAAAACAAATTTCTTGGTTTCTACTGGCACCCGCCCATATGTTGGCCCTGATGTTGAAACTTCAAAATTCTATCGATACAAGTAGTATAACTCCGCGATATCACCTATCTTTACATATTTGGCGATATTTAGAAGTCATGAGCACTAGGTTAATAGAACTTTGTTCTTCGTAATTGGCATTCGTCACTCTCTATACTTAAAATCTATTCATTGTCGAATACGTTAGAAATTTTCCTAAATGCACTTTGATTAATGCAGACTTTTTAAATATATGTCGTTTTAAATTTTAAACTTTTTTTAAAACGCTAAAATAATTTCATTTTGTGCTATAGTCTTTGCTAGAAAAAGAATTATATAAAAAATTTTAGGCTTTACGTAAAAAAGTTTATTCAAAAAAATTAAGTAGTATAGTTTTTTTCACTTAGGTGGTCTTACCAATATTTTTATTGTTATATATATATATATTAGATTATACAAGTGTTTATTTAATTTATAAGTTTATTATCCAGCTGCCTCAAGAGTGCCTAGATGCGATCTATGATATTAGCTTAGTAATATTTGAGCTAAAAGGTTGCATCAAACTATATATTTTAATAGTTATATGAAAATAGTAAGTTTTTAAATATTGTTATTAAAATTATTGTTAAAATTTTTATTCGCTTTTATTATTTGTAATTTATTTAAAACGAATAATTGTTAGTGCTAGTATTATTATTAGTAGATTAAGTAGCTTATTAGCAGAATTCAAATACAAAACTTTATAATAATTATATTGTTTATTATTTTACTACGTATAGCAAATAACTTGTTAAATTGGTACTTTTTAAACAGATCTCTTATGATTAATTTTTGTATAAAGACACTACCTTCTGCCAGTTATCTTGTACAGAAACACTTTTAACTTGCTTGCTAAATATACAAAAGAGTTCGAACAAAAATATCCAAAAGCCTTGACCTCTGTAAAAACTGTTATTTTAGTTGTCTCTTCTACTTTCTCCAACAAGTTTTTTATTTTCGCTAGTCATAAGTTTGGTACAAGTGATTGTTGGGAAGAGTTCAACCTACAATTGGATCTAAAGATTTATAAATTTAAAAAATTAAATATTATTTTGTATTTTTTTTCTTTTTTTTAAAACTATAA